TGACCTAAACTAGGGGATTTTACACAGAAACCCTAATTTAGAAACTCCTCTTCTCTTTGATTTCTCTTGAATTCTTCTTGGCATATCTCCATATCCTTCTTTATATGTCAAATGATGAACCCCACATCTCTCCACTAGACTTGAATGCCCCTTAAATCAGTCAATTGACCTAGGGTTGACCTAGGGTTGACCCAGATGAAACCCTAGTTGACTGCCTTCAGCTATAGCTCTTGTGCTCTCATCAATGACTTGTATCCTTCTTTAAATGACTTTCTAAGTCTCTCATAATGTCTAGATACTCTCCATGCCTTCAACTCACAGCTCACAACCCTCTTGTTGACCCTCAGATACCCTCAGCTAGGAGATGGACTCAAGGCTTGATCTGCTGAACTCTCTGCTTTCAAATTCTTTCTTGATGACTTGAATGAGATTGAATTGGGATAATAACCTCTTGATAGGCTTCTAAAGGGGAGAATAATGCTTGGTACCTTGTTGAATGATTTACTATGCTATGATATACAGATGATTAAGCTATGTACATGACTCTATATGCAAATGCTAATGACATTGAAACATAAACCAAGTGAATAAGGTTGGGCAAATTTTAGGGTGCAACAGAACCATCGCTCGTTACCAATGTAACTCCCCGTCGGGCCTACGATGTTCACCCATTACTCACACCTCACATAGGTACACAATGTTTATGGGTTTCTCACACCTCACATAGGCACACAATCTGATTGCTCACACCTCACATAGGCACACAATCGTTTGTAATCATCGCTCACACCTCACATAGGCACACGATGTTACAACGAATTCTCATTAGAATCCCACAACACAAGAATGTACATCATTATGCTTCACATACAAAAATGACTCAAGACATTCTTGAAATGCATACATATTTACAATATATTCATGCATTCATCTCATACTATCACATACAATCGATATACATTCACATCAATTACGCCAAACAGCAACGAGCATCGCTTTACCACCTAAACGACAACGAACTCTATCACAATCATCATGCATTCATATTTAATTTAAACAATGCATTTATTTGCCAAAAGGCCACAATTCACAATAAATTCCACAATCTAGGATTCACGCCATACGGCTACCCACATCATATCATATAACAACACACAAGCTACACGTTCCGGGATAAGGTTGATCACATCCGAGTCGAAGAATCGATGTTGGATGGAAAATAGAAAAAATGTTGTGTTGTCATGCTCGCTAGGCGAGCAGAATGGCGAGCCCTTCGCTACTCCACTCGCTCCAGCGAATTTTGTCATTTTGGTTTTGCCCAAGTCTGGGAGTGTTCGCTGGCAGCTCACTGTGTGCTCGCTTAGCAAGCACTTCGCTATCTCACTCGCCAGTGATTCGCCTAGCGAATACTTCGCTACTCCAACCCTCAATTATCCAAAAATATCAGAAAGTCACAAAATCACCCGATTTAAATCAAACAAGTTCCAATATTCTCGGCCTAATGTTCCTCGACTAAACTACACAATTTATTTCGAATTCTAACCGTGAAAACATCAGTTTCTATCGATTTAATCCAATTCGACCTAAAATGGAAATATGTAGAAAAACAACCAAACTATCCAACCAAACACATACATAATGATATACATTGATGAGATAATAAGATTTCACACCCTTACCCGATTAAATCGATTCCTAGAAGTTGTTTTGAAGATTTCCAAACTTTTTCCTCTTTTTCTTCTCTTTTCTCTTCTTCCTCTTTCTTTCTCTCCTTTTTCTTCTTTCTTTCTCTTTTCTCTCCTCTTTCTCTCTTATATCTTTCTATTCTAATTCCTTTCTATTACTTTTTCTCTCAAAACATCTAATAATTCATTTTCTCACACAAAATATCTAACTTAACATTAATTAAGAAATATCTAAAATACCCTCCAACCTAATTTCCCCGAAAACTCACAAAAACGATAAAATAACACAATATGCAAACATAACATATTAACACACCAATTCCACAAATAAAATAATAATCACCCAAATAAATAAAAGACCCAACAAAAATGGGAAATCAGAATCGGGGCGTTACAGACTGCAGGTAGATTCATAAAGGCAACACTGCGTCGTGCCCATGTACAAGTCAGAAAAGTGTAGAGCTAGTTGACTCTTTGTACATCTACGTGATGTTTCTAACAAATTGTTAGTTTTCTTTCTTTTTGATGTTGTCAAAGGGGGAGAAGATGAGATAATGATGCGGATTATGCATGATATATGCGTACACTTAGGGGGAGCTATCAAGAATAATGCATAAAGTCAAGGGGAGTTGTTTCGTGTATCAAGATAAATGCAACAGGCTACGACGACTACATCATATACGTTTGCCATCATAAAAAAAGGGGAGTATGTGAGTGCTAAGTATTACTAACTACAAATTCAACCGAGTTTTGAATGATGTCAAACAAGGGAGAAGGTAGTATATTACATCGTAGCTCTTTTGTATATTGGACGGTATCAACCTACATTTAGATGTTCATTTGTTCCCTTAGCCTTATGAAGTATAAAAGAGTCTCTAAACAAGTTTTACTGGTCTTAGGCATGTCATACACACCAAAAATCATGTTTATGTGTCAAAATAACAACATAAGCCGACTTATACATGATCAGACTGACCTATGGAAGTTTAAACTTGAGTATGGCACTTGCATCAGTTGGACGTCAACACTGCATTCTTGCATGGTGACTTGCAAGAAGATGCGTACATGCAAGTTCCTTAAGGTGTACAAATTCCTAGACCAAATCAAGTGTGCAAACTTCTCAAATCCCTTTATGGTTTGAAACAACTCAGTAGAAAGTGGTATGAACAGTTAACTGGAGTTCTATTGGATTAAGAATACAAACAATCAGTTGCTGATCATTCTCTATTTATACTTACCAAAGAATCTTCTTTCATCGCTCTTTTGGTATATGTTGATGATGTTATTCTTGCAGGCATTTCTCTAAATGAGTTTGATAGCATCAAAAGAATTCTAGATGAATAATTCAAAATCAAAGATCTTGGACAACTGAAGCATTTTCTTGGAATATAAGTGGCTTATTCCAAAGTTGGTATTACTTTGTGCCAAAGAAAATACTGCCTTGACTTGATATATGACACTTGTTTCCTTAGAGCTAAACCTGTCAAGATTCATATTGATCCCTCCACAAAGTTGCACCAAGATACCTCATCTTTATTTGAAGATGTTGCTAGCTACAAAAGACTAGTTGAAAAGCTATTATATTTGACTACTACAAGGCCTAATATAGCCTTTGTAATGCAACAATTGAGCCAATTTCTCCACGCTCTAACTACCACTCATTATGAAACGATCAAATACCTCAAAGGCTTACCGGGTCGATGATTATTATTTAAGAGAGATGCACAACTTCAACTCCTTCCCTTTATTGATGATGACTGGGCAGGATGTCTAAATACTCGAAGATCCACTATTGGCTATTATTTACTTCTTGTCATTTCATTGGTTTCATGGCATGCTATGAAATAACATATAGTGTCCAGAAGTTCATCGGAGGCGGAATATTGAGCCTTGTCTTTCGCATCATGTGAATTACAATGGATGATTGGTTTGCTTAAAGATTTTCACATTGAAATTACAAAACTTCCAACTTTGTATTGTGACAACCAAAGTGCTATACACATCGCAGTCAATCCCGTCTTTCATGAAAGAACAAAACATCTTGAGATAGATTGTCATTTTATTCATGAGAGAATTCAAAAAGGCATGTTCAAGCTGCTGCCAATTCATACCAAAGCTCAGTTGGTATATTTCTCCACAAAGTCATTACCACCCAAGATTTTCCACAATTTCATTTCCAAGCTCAACATGCTCGACATTTACCATGTTTAGCTTGAAGGTGGATGTTGAACTTATTCCTTGCATGATAAGTAACCGACTTACCTATAGTATAAGTCATCAAGTTTCATGATGTATGTAATGATAACTTGTAATCATAAGTCATTGATATTAGTTATGAGTTTGTTTGGTTTCATGCAGCTATATAAACTCAGCGTAACTAACTTTTATCATTAAGAGGAATTGAGTTCATTCACTATATCATCATCTTCTTCTTCCCTCTTTCAATAACTTATACCATTTTTTACTCACTTAATGCACAACTTCAAAAGTTATACTTATTACTACCTTCGTTCCTTTATATAAGAGACAATTCAGTTTTTAGGTTCATTGAATAATTAATGTATTTGTCAGGTTATAGACTAGATAAATTGATTATTCAATGAACTTAAAAAATAAGTTGTCTCTTATAAAAAGGAAGATAAATAATAATTTTTATTTTTTTAATATCCGACTCAACTACAGTTCAGTCGATTCAAGTGGTTGAATTATGCCGGTTTAATTTTTAAAACATTGATAAATTCATAAATCTTTAAGATTAATATCTTGTATGTTATTGATTATAAAAAAAGTTTTAATATTTAAAAAATTGAAAAATAAAAAAATGCATTTAAGCATAAAATCAAATAGAAAACAGCAATTTTACAATTTAATAATTTATAGATAAACTTTTAAAATTAAAAAACTAGAATTTATTTTGTGTTTGCCAACCATTGGATCCTTTTCCGTGTTTTTTTAATTAAAAAACCTGTATAAAAATGATTTAAGAAAAAGTCTTTTATTAATTTTCATTTAAAATTGTTTTTCAATTTTTTCAGATTCTGATTAAAAAAAACAACCGATATAAAACCAATATTATTCACTAAAAAAACAGCTCTTAAACACTTATCTCTTCAATTTTTTTATTACTCCCACTCCCATTGTAATATTAATTGAATAATAATAATAATCACTTAAAAACTTTATTTTAAAAAGTTAAAACAACACAGTAACCAACAATAATAATCACTTAAAAACTTTATTTTAAAAAGTTAAAACAACACAGTAACCAACAAATCCTTTACCCGAATTCAAATCCCCTCCGTCCATGCGAACTGCATGGCTCCACCGTCCGAACCTCATCGCTGCCGTCACAACAACCACAACCACATCTCCTCCTTCTTCCAATCCACCGCTTCCAATTTCCTCTCTCTCTTCAACCAACACAACCCTCCACCTTCACCTCTACCTCAACTACCCTCCGCAGTCTCCCTCCCTCTCTTCTTCGCGCCACCGCTCTCCACTGTGACGTTCGAATCCACCTCCGACTCAACACGCTCTTCCGCCAAATCGGTTAGAGTTTCGAGGCTCAATTCCAATGTCAAAGGTGGTGGTGGTCCCGCTTTTGTTGGTCAGGTTTTCAGCATGTGTGACCTCTCTGGAACTGGTTTCATGGCTGTTTCTACTCACTTTGATATTCCTTTCATCACTAAAAGGTTTTTTTTTTCTTTTTTTGAATTTTCGTAACTCTTTATTTTCAATTTGTCCTTCAAAATCAAATTCAAGATTGTGCTTTATTTTTAAGCTTTTGGTATGTTTGTGAAATTAAATTAAGATTGAAGTTGTAACCTTTTTTGCTTTTGTAATTTTGTATCATTTTTTTAATTGGTGCATAAGATTAGCTTGGTTTGTTTATTGCGTAGTTATATAAATAATAGTTTGTTGAGTGGAGTCTAGTTTTGATTTAGTAGTAATGTATTGGTTTAGAGGTATAGAATTAATTTTGGAATGATTTTATGGTGTTTGGTTCTTCTAATGTAGAATTGATTATGTCTTCAGAATTGATTATTCTTGAAGTTAGAATTGGAGCTTTTGAGTTTAAACATGATTTTTATTTTGAAATTTACTATTCAACTCATTTTTACATAAATTTATCTTAGTCTAATCACTTTACCTTCAACCCATATTTAGCTAAAATCAAGTGTACATAATCAATTCATTCAAAATCAATCCTTTTCACCGCAGAACCAAACACACGCTTGAATGAGCTATTGTTATAAATATGTCGTTTTTACTCAAAGAAAAGCTGTGTTGTTGAATAGCAGTTATAGCTATTGTGCTATGCTACAACAGAATTTGAACAAATCACTATGTTTTATCAGAGTTTTGTCAAATAACAGTAATAGCTATCAGAATTTGAACAAACCGCTATTTTTTGTGATTACTGATATTGACAACAGAATAGTTCTTATAATCTATATATATATATATATATATATATATATATATATATATATATATATATATATATATATATATATATATATATATATATATATATATATATATATATATTTACTAAGTGAGTGTGAAGAAAAGAGAGGCAGAAGATGATTTCAATTTATATGAGAAATTGTTGTTTAAAAACTGACTCTTATGGCAAGATTCTTTTAATATTTTTTTACTATAATTGTTTCTTATGAAGTTTATCCAAACCGGTACTGAAAAGAATTCTTTTTCCGTTTCTCTAAAGGACAGAATACACGAAGGTGTTTGTATGTAAGTGTGGTGCCCGGGATTATAGGGTTCCGTGCCTGTTTATGAGGACAATTGAATCACCTTGCATTTGTAAGCAAATACAAGCTAGTGTTTGGTTTCTTGTAACAAACACGAGGAGTCTTGCTTAGGAAATCCAAGATGCTTGGTAGTTGTGGAACTAAAGTTGTAGATATGTGTCTGTTGAAATAGGGACTGAAATTGTGGCTAGTGTTTGTTTAATATCTCATTCAACTGAAGTATAGATTAAGCTGTTACCATCCATTATTTTTCTAAAAGCATAATCTTTTCCGCTTGTTATCTATTTTCTGCAGAACCCCAGAGTGGCTGAAAAAAATGTTTGCAGCAATCACCAAGAGTGAGAGAAATGGCCCTGTATTTCGCTTTTTTATTGATCTAGGAGATGCAGGTTAATTCATCGACAGTCCCCCTTCTTTACGCTCCTTTAGTTTGCTTGTAACATTCCGATCCATTTATGTCTTGTCATATTCTTCAAAGTTTTCTTTATAGTTTGATGAATCTATTGTTGTTGTCATATTCTTCGAAGTTTTTCTTTATAACTTAATGAATCTGTGGTTGTTGTCATATTCTTCAAAGTTTTTCTTTATAACATGATGAATCTATGACTGTGAAGATGTTATCTAATTATCATTAATTTCCTTTAACTGCGACCTAGGCTAGCTGATTTCCTGTTTTCTATAGCTCACTCTCATGTATGTACTTTTGGCCTTACTAAGTTTCTGTTTGTAGAGATGCTTAATTTCAATATATTTAGCTGCTAGCCAAACATGATGCATGTTTTAGTGTATTAGTGTATACAGCTATTCTTAGTTGTTATTGGGTTGTTATAACTGCTTAGACATTTATATATAGTTAGATAATAACCATTCAATGTATGCTTTTGTTGAATAAATAAAATACTCCTTCCTTATCTCTACTTTCTATTCTTTCTCTCTCTCTCTCTATAGTCTCCCTCTCTTCCCTATCATTGGTATCTAGAGCTTGTCGACCTCGGCCACACCATTCATGGCAGAAGCGACGCGACTGCAGAACGCCATTCGTGAGGCGGAGGAGCGCATCATGGCGACGGTGGAGCCATTTATCACGATGCAAATTCGTGAATTGGAGAATCGTTTCGAAACTCAATTCACCAATGTGCAAGAAGCCATGCACGGAATTGGATTGCAAATGTCAGAGTTAACGGCGGCGCGTCGCCATGGTGGCGCCGACGACAGAGCAACTCGACCAGCAACGCGATTAACGCGTCTGGATTTTCCAAAATTCACTCGAGATGATGTGGAATCTTGGATCGCGAAATGCGAACGTTTTTTTGTGTTGGATGGAGCGCAAGAAGGGGACAAGGTTTCGGTTGCGAGTATCGCTCTTGATGATAACTCTTTTCGTTGGTTCCAAAGTCTAGAACAGGGATCGAATGGCCGGTTGACATGGCCGAATTTCACCGAGGCATTGAAGATGCGATTTAGCCTCAAGTTTGATTCACCTATGGAAGAACTCAAGAAATTGGTGCAGACTGGTTCGCTGGAGGCGTATCAGGAATCGTTTGACAATCTGGTGGGTAGAACAACGTTGACAGAATCTCAAAAGCTCCAATGCTATTTGGGAGGCCTTCAACAGGAATTGTGTAATGGTGTGAAGATGTTTGCCCCGCGTACGGTGTTGGAAGCTACTCGTCTGGCAAAATTGCAAGAACGAAGCTTGGATTTGTTGCAGAAACGGTTGGGGCCAGCAAATCGAACCCAAAGTTCTTGGAGTGAGAAGAAGAATACAGTTTCTCACACCTTTGACAAGAAAGTGATGCCTCAGGAGAAGAAAGGGATTATCGAAGGTTCTCAGAAGAGCATTTTGGGAAAGCCGACATATACGTTTCAGAAGAAAAACTTTCCCCTAAAGAAATGGATGAACATAGGGCTCAAAACTTGTGTTTTTTTTGTCATGACAAATTTTTTCCTGGACATGATTGCCCTCAGAGAAAAAAGATGCAAGTTTTTCTTATGGAGGTTGGGGAGGAAAACCAGTTGGACTCAATTGAAGTTGATCCTGTTTCTGAGGAAGTGTCTAATGACCCTCACAGCGTTGATCCTCCTATTTCCTTTAATGCCATTCAGGGAGACTCTTCTCATCCTATGATGAGATTGATAGGATGGATGGGTAGAAAGAGAGTTCATGTACTCATAGATACCAACAACACTCATAATTTCATCAACCAGAAATTATGTAAAAAGGGGCTCAACATTCTACAACCCATGCATCCCTTGCGGATAACTGTAGCTGATGGCAGCCTTATACACGGTGCAGGACGTTGTGAAGGCATCTGGTTAAAGCTTCAAGGGTATGATTTTATTACTGATGCTATTGCGATACCATTGTCTAGTTGTGTTGTTATATTGGGCATGCAATGGTTAAGGCAATGGGGAGTCATACAATGAGATTTTACAAATATGGCTATGGAATTTTCTATGAATGGCATGCATGTGAAGTTGCAGGCTGTTAAAGAAATTAAAAGTAGGGTAGTTTCAGCTTCTAAATTGCATCAGTTAGTGGTTGGAGATAGCTTCTGTTATATGCTACAGTTACTACCTTGTTCCACAGAGTCAATGTGCTGTTCAGTGACCACTGAGGAGCTAGAGGATCCGGTGATGATGGATCATAGAGAATCTATTTTACATTTTACATGAGTTCCAAGAGGTCTTTGAAACACCTACTCAGCTGCCACCCTTTAGGGGTATTCATGATCATCAAATTGTGCTAAAGGAGGGTTCTAACCCAGTTAGTTTAAGACCTTATCGATATCCACCAGCTCAAAAGGATGTCATTGATGGCATGGTTAGAGAGCTCTTGGATTCGGGAGTAATTCAACCAAGCTCGTCCCCTTTTGCTTCTCCAGTTGTGTTAGTCAAAAAGAAAGATGGGAGTTGGCGAATGTGTGTGGATTATAGGAGGTTGAACGAAATGACGGTAAAGGCTAAATTCCCAATTCCTTTGGTGGAGGATTTATTGGATGAATTAGGTGGGGCAGTGGTGTTTTCTAAACTGGATCTTAGGGCTGGATATCATCAAATAAGGATGAAAACGGAAGACGTACCAAAGACAGCGTTTCAAACTCACGGGGGGCAGTATGAATATGTGGTGATGCCTTTCGGATTGTCCAACGCACCAGCTACTTTTCAAGGAACAATGAACATTATTTTTTCTGGTTTATTGAGGAAATGTGTTCTTATTTTCTTTGATGACATACTAGTGTATAGCTCATCTTTGGAGGCACATGTGGATCATCTTCGACAAGTGTTTCTGATCGTCAAATCTCACACCTTCTATGTTAAGAGAAGTAAGTGTGCATTCTTCACTACACGGATCGAATACTTGGGTCATTTCATCACACCTACAGGAGTTACTACTGATCCAATTAAAGTTCAAGCTGTGAGAGCTTGGCCGACACCTCAAACAGTTAAGCAATTGAGGGGATTTTTAGGTTTGACGGGTTACTACAGGCGGTTCATTAAAGGTTACATCATCATTACTTCTCCTCTTACAGATTTACTCAAGCGGGATTCTTTCCATTGGCCTCAAGAGGCACACACCGCCTTCACTACCTTGAAAGATGCTTTGAGTACTTCTCCGGTATTGGCCATACCTAATATGCAAAAGCCATTTGTGGTTGAAACATATGCTTCAGGCACTGGAATTGGTGATGTGCTAATGCAGGACAGGCACCCTGTGGCTTTTATTAACAAGGTTTAGGCTTTTGTCAGTTTAAAAAACAGGCTTTTGTCAGTTTATGACAAAGAATTATTGGCATTGGTTCATGCAGTCTCTAAGTGGCACCAATATCTTTCCCTGAACACGTTTACAATTCTTACTGACCAACATAGTTTGAAGTACCTATTGGAGCAACGTCTATCTACTCCAGCCCAATATAGATGGGTCACTAAGCTCATGGGTCTTTCTTATGAAATTTTGTATAAGAAGGGTAAGGATAACGTGGCTGCAGATGCCTTGTCGAGAGCCTCGCATGGTGAAGTTTTACAATTGACCGTCTCTTCTACTTCTTCTGAGTTATGGGACTCTCTCCTTAAAAGCTATGAACAAGATTCAGCTTTACATGACCTCAAGCAGGAGGTTCTTGCTAATCCAACCTTGCATCCCCATTTTTCTGTTGTGGACAATTTGTTGTATAGGAAACAGAAGTTGGTCATTCCTAATGATGAACAAGTGCGATTGGTGATTCTACAATGGCTTCATTCTTCACATCAAGGAGGCCATTCGGGCATTAGGGCTTCTATAGCAAGGATCAAGAGCATGTTTTATTGGAAGGGCCTTGCCAAAGATGTCACAAAGTTCATTCAGCAATGTGAGACTTGCCTTAGATGCAAGTATGAACCTGGAGCTGTTGCTGGTTTACTTCAGCCCCTGCCAAGATTCAGTAAATAAAAAAAAGTATAACCAAATTATTAATAAAATCAATTATGAATAAGCAACAACCAATTTGAGATTAGCATCTCCCGAATATCAGCCAGAATCACCTGCTCCAGCACCTCCATTTCCACCGCCGACGGGAGAAGCAAAAGAAGAGGCGGAGTTCATAATGCAGCATGTACGGTGGCAACAGAACGAAAGCAAAAGAGGCGGATGAGCACGCAATGCAGAAGCGGCGACACAGAATGCAGAACACAAGATCTAAAAAGTGAGAATGCAGAATGCTAAATCAAACCAAAGAACACAAAAACAGGGAAAGTAGAATTGCAGAACATAAAAACACCGCGTTATGATGACGGAGAACACACAGTCACTAGCTACATCTAGCTACATCTGATGTCTGCGATAACGGCTCTTCAGGCGGCAAACAGTGTGCAATGGAGAATTAAGATCTAAGAATAGAAAATGGATTGAGATGTAATCGAGATAATATGAATCTGTCAACAAAAATCATAAATCTAAACCAACCTAGAGTGGAGTAAAGTCGCAAAACATTCAATAATCAACTAATCACTGATTTTGAAAGTTTGAGCAGAGAAAATAATTGTTTCACCAAGGGGTTACAGTCATCCATTTCACAAAACCAGATAAAAATAACAGGAACCATAATGGTTAGTGTTAATATATATATATATATATATATATATATATATATATATATATATATATATATATATATATATATATATATATATATATATATATATATATAAAAGAATATTTGTATATAGAATAGTCTCACATCGACTATATCATGTAATTAGTTGTAATCTATTTATATATAATAATGTCTCCGTAGTGCTTTTCAAAACACACGGTTTATTCAAATGTCTCTTAGTCTCTTGTATTTCAACATGGTATCTAGAGCCTGCTAAGAGGCAATTCTTTCTTCGCCGTGCTTTACCCGGTTGACCCACTGTCTTCCAGTGAGAAATTTTTTTAAAATTTTTTTTGCAAACCGTGTTGTCACTCCGGTTTGCCTCACTTTTCAAAATTCTCCGGTGACCACCCTGCCGCCACTGCCGCTGTTACTGTTCTGGCAAAACTTCCGGCGACGTTTCGGAAAGCCGATCTCACCATCAATTTCCAACATTCTCCGGTCATAACCGCATAGCCGCCGCCGTCGCTACTATTCTCAACGACCTTCCGGCAAGCTTTTTCATCGGCAGAAACCTCCGCACGCGCCACCTCCGTCTCCGCGCGATCGATCGCGTGATATTTTCTCTCTTCAGATACTCATGGCTACTCCTCAGAACTTTACGCCAAACTACGATGATTTTCTCAGGTGGTATCAGAATTATCAGAACTCAGATTCTACTGCTACGGTAGCGCACACTGGTAATTTATCTGTTTGCCTCTCTCAATCATCTCCTCTTCGACCTTGGGTCCTTGATTCTGGTGCATCTGATCATGTTACTGGTAATAAAAATTTGTTCTCTTCCCTCTCTACCTCTGGTTTCTTACCTACTATAACTTCTGCCAATGGTTCTCAAACGATCCGAAGGGATTGGTACTGTTCAAATTCTACCTTCTCTATCTGTTACTTCTGTCCTCTATGTACCTAATTGTCCATTTAATTTACTTTCAGTCAGTCGTTTAACTCGTTCTCTTGATTGTAGTATTACCTTCACTAATAATAATGTTACCCTGCAGGATCGGAGTTCGGGAAAGACGATTGGCGTCGGATATGAGTCTCAAGGCCTTTACTACCTTTCATTGTCATCTCAGACATGCTCAACCAAAGATTCTCCACTCACTATCCATGCTCAGTTAGGTCATCCTAGTCTTTCCAAATTACATAAGTTGGTGCCAAATTTATCGAAGGTATCTAATTTACATTGTGAGTCATGCCAGTTAGGGAAACACACTCGTATTCAATTTTCCAGTCGAGTCAACAAACAAGCTTCGTCCCCTTTTCCTTTAGTTCACACCGATGTTTGGGGTCCCTCGCGTACTGTCTCTACTCTTAAGTCTAGGTATTTTGTCACCTTCATTGATGATTTTTCACGTTGCACGTGGTTATTTTTAATGAAGAATAAATCTGAATTGTTTTCTATTTTTGAACAATTTTATCGGGAAATAAGAACCCAATTTGGTTTGTCCATTCGTACCTTAAGAAGTGACAATGCACGTGAATATTTATCTCAACAATTTCGAACATTTATGTCATCTAATGGTATTTTGCACCAAACATCTTGCCCTCATACATCCCAACAAAACGGGGTAACCGAACGCAAAAATCGGCACCTCGTAGAAACCACTCGGACTCTACTTCTCCATGGTAATGTTCCTCTCCGGTTTTGGGGAGATGCGGTACTCACGGCATGTTACCTCATAAATCGCATGCCCTCATCTGTCTTTAATAATAAAATCCCTCATTCAATCTTGTTTCCAAACTCTCCACTCCACCCAATTCCTCCTCGAGTCTTTGGGCCTACGTGTTTTGTACACAATCTCTCCCCTGGTCTCGATAAACTATCAGCTCGATCACTAAAGTGTGTCTTTCTTGGCTATCATCGATCTCAAAAGGGTTATCGTTGCTACTCACATACTCTATAACGATACCTCGTATCGGCCGATGTTACCTTCTTCGAGTCTATTTCATATTTCGAGTCCAGCCAAGTAACTACGGAACCTCTACAGGAAAGTATTCCCACACCTCTTCCGGAAGTCCCATTTGTCATTATCCTCCATCATTCTAGGGAACTTGACCCACTCGATACCCCTACGGTTGACCCCCCCACTCCTCGCCCACTTCAAACATATCAGCGTCGTCACCCAACGTCTGTCGTACCTGTCTCTGAAGTCGCACCTGTCCCTGAGGTCACTACGGACTCTCCTCCGACACTCTCGCCATCACCGGATCCGATCCTGCAACCTGAGTCTGATCTTCAGATTGCCCTTCGAAAAGGTATACGTCAAACACGAAATCCTTCTCCACATTATATTGATTTATGTTATCATCGTCTTTCCCCTTTGCAGTATACTTGTTTGTCTTCTTTGTCTTCTGTTTCTATTCCTAAAACTCCAGGTGAAGCATTGTCTCACCCTGAGTGGAGGCAAGCAATGATTGATGAAATGTGTGCTCTTCAAAGCAGTGGTACCTGGGAACTGGTTCCTCTACCCCATGGAAAATCTTTAGTAGGTTGCCGTTGGCTTTATACAATGAAGGTTGGTCCAGATGGCAAGATTGATCGATTTAAAGCTCGCTTGGTAGCCAAAGGATACACTCAAATTTTTGGGTTGGATTATGGTGATATCTTTTCGCCTGTAGCCAAGATGGCATCTGTTAGACTTCTTCTAGCCATTGCAGCCATTCGACATTGGTCTCTTCATCAACTTGACATCAAAAATGCATTCTTAAATGGCGATCTTGAAGAGGAAGTATATATGGGGCAACCACCTGGGTTTGTTGCTCAGGGGGAGTCATCGAATATGGTTTGTAGGCTACACAGGTCTCTTTATGGTCTTAAGCAATCTCCGAGAGCTTGGTTTGGTAGATTCAGCACTGTAGTACAACAGTTTGGTATAATCCGTAGTGAAGCTGACCATTCTGTTTTTTATCGTCACTCACCCCAAGAGTGTATTTATCTTATTGTGTATGTAGATGACATTGTCATAACTGGTAGTGATCAGCAGGGAATACTCCAGTTGAAACAACATCTCTCGAAACAATTTCAGACAAAAGATCTTGGTAAACTCTGTTATTTCTTGGGTATTGAAGTAGCCCAATCTAAAGATGGTTTGGTGATTTCTCAGAGGAAATATGCTATGGATATTTTGGAAGAAACAGGTTTGTTAAATGCTAAATCAGCCGATACTCCTATGGATCCAAGTGTTAAACTACTACCCAATCAGGGGGAGTCTCTATCTGACTCAGGAAGGTATAGGAGATTGGTTGGAAAGTTGAATTATCTCACAGTCACTCGTCCGGACATTTCTTTTGCAGTCAGTGTGGTAAGCCAGTTCTTAAATTCCCCTTGTCAGGAACACATGGATGCTGTTATCCGGATTTTGAGATACATCAAATGTGCTCCAGGAAAAGGTCTTGTGTATGAGGATAAAAGACATACCCAGATAATTGGATACTCTGATGCTGATTGGGCAGGGTCACCCATTGATAGACGATCCACCTCTGGGTATTGTGTACTTGTTGGAGGAAACCTTATATCCTGGAAAAGTAAGAAACAAAATGTAGTTGCAAGATCAAGTGCCGAGGCAGAGTATAAGGTCATGGCAATGACAACATGTGAACTTATTTGGTTAAAACAGTTGCTCAAGGAACTTCAAATTGAAGAAGCAAGACCAATGACACTTATTTGTGATAATCAAGCTGCATTGCACATTGCTTCAAATCCAGTCTTCCATGAGAGGACAAAACATATTGAGATAGACTGTCACTTTGTCAGAGAGAAGATCGAGTCAGTCGACATCGTCACAAGCTTTGTCAACTCTAATGATCAATTGGCAGATGTGTTTATAAAATCTCTACGAAGTCCCAGAACTAATTATATATGTAACAAGCTTGGTGCATTTGACTTATATGCTCAAGCTTGAGGGGGAGTGTTAATATTTATAAATATATATATTGTTAAGAATATTTGTATATAGAATAGTCTCACATCGACTATATCATGTAATTAGTTGTAATCTATTTATATATAATAATGTCCCCGTAGTGCTTTTTAAAACACACGGTTTATTCAAATGTCTCTTAGTCTCTTGTATTTCAACAGTTAGGAACCATAACGGTTCGTAAGTATATGTTTAAATGAAACATTGTAAATATTTGGTTTTTTATAAACCGCTTATGGATATATTTGTGGTTTGCACTTAGAACTAAGGGTGGCAAAATGGGCGGTCTGTCCCGTTTAGGCCCGCCCTATTTAAGCCCGTCCAAAAGCGAAGCGGGGCGGGGCGGGCCAACTTAGGCGTCCGAGTTCAAAAGTCAAGCCCGCCCCATTTATTAACGAGATTACAAAATTGTTAATCATTACAAAAGAGGCCGACAAATTATAATAATGCATAGTAAAATTTTAACAAGTCTTAATATAAATGTCATATTCTTCAACATCAACAAACAACGTAACTATAATACCAAAAGATTAAAACAAACATACTAAAGTAAAACCCCAAAAATCAAAACTTTATTATCATAATGACAGACAAATCCCCCTGTGCAAAACTTACCTAATAACTTTAGATCCCGGCTCCAATGACAACGGGTAATAGAAAATAGACAAGAATGTATTCGCTATGTTTTGCAATAAAGACTTTTCCTACTGAGTGAAAATAAAGAACGAATCAGATCAACTAATGTCTTCAAAATAAGGTGTTTGAAGAAATAAGAGTTGTTTTAAAAGTACGTCTACTACATACCACGTTAATATTGTTTTAATTCCAAATAGAATATAAATTTTTTAAACAAAAAGTCCATGGGCAAATTCCGCCCGCCCCGCCCTCGACCCGTTTTAAAAGTGGGTTAGGCGGGGCGGGCCAACTTAAGACACCGAGTCGAAAACCTCACCCTGACCCGCCAAAAATAGTGGGTTAAACAGGTGGTCTGGCGGGCCCAATCCGTTTTGCCACCCCTACTTAGAACCAAATAGTTTGTTTGACCCTAATATTCTGTACTTATATCGCTATATGTTTACATTCCTTTTTTCCTTAAATTATTCTCTTATCATCGCATATTCTGATTAATGTTGATCTCCGATTAGCAATTAACACCAAATACTGACCTTTTTAAATTTAATCACTCTAGTTTCATATGTCAAAAAACTCAATATTCCAAGTGGCGTGGTGGGTGCCTGCCGTCTTGATTTGGCATATGAGCATTTCAAGGTACTGTTGACTTTTTCAATTGCCATTTGAGATATAGTTTTGCTAGCTTGACTTAGTGCATTTATGGTTATATATGATCCACTATTGATTTGGTTGCATAGAACGACACAGTGATGCAAATTGCATGCAGATGGTTGTTCCAAATTATGAAATTTGATATGTTAGTATTCTTTTCTTACTTCTACTTTTTTTTTTTTTGGATATGTTGCTTGCTATGTACCATGCAGGAAAAGCCTCACTTATTCCAATTTGTTCCAAACGAGAAGCAGGTATGATTTTGTCTTTCATTGTTGCACATATTTCAAATTTATTTGACTATAATCTTTAAGTATTAATTTTCCCTTCAGGTCAAGGCAGCTAATAAACTTCTGAAGACCATCCCACACAATATCGCTGGGGAAAAGGTCGATGGGGTGCCTGTATTTAGTGCTCAGAATTTGGATATTGCAATAGCAACTACTGATGGAATTAAATGGTATATATTGCTCATCTTCCTTGTTTTATGTAAATAGGTGTTATTGTCATAGAATTTGCTTATATGTTGTTTATTTGAAATTTAATATCAGTAAAATGGTTATTGTGCATTTTGAAATCTCTTTTACAACTCAACAGGGATACCCCTTCTCATGTTTCTTACACATGTATGAACATAAATAAATTCTATTTTTTCTTTGTGATTGAATTTAATTTGCCTTAGCCTAGTCTATTTTTTTGCCATTGATTCTTTGGTTTTCTTAGCTTTCTTGAAAGTGTTTGTACAGATATTGATTTGTGATATGCTATTTTTCTGTTAGGAATTTGACTTTGATTTTTAGCCCATTATGTTTACTCAAAACTTGAAAGAGAAATGCTTCAAAAAAAACCTTGAAAGAGAAAAAAACTGAATATTAGTATTTCGAGGTCGGACAATTTGTATTCTCAAAATTTTGAAATAGCAAACTAGTCCACGAAATTGAAGATCATCAATCAAATTTGTCATTTTGTCAATCAATTCCATCAATTTTGACGATTCTGGATCACAAAATAGAGATCAGTTGAAGCTTTAAACCAATTTATGAAAGTATGCTCTCTTTAAACACACCCTAAATGATGTGGTAATTCAGCATTTCTGACCCTTTTAGATGACAAAGGGAATAAATTTGTTGAGGCGCTTCAATTTGAGGGACTGATTTCCCTTTTCCTAAATTTGAACTATCAAATGTATTTACAACACATTTCATTGAATATCGGACTCCTTAGAGCAATGAGTAAATGAAATATTTTCTAACAAAGCAACATAATATTTATGCCAACCTTATTGCGTTGTTTGAATAGGTATACTCCCTACTTCTTTGATAAAAACATGCTTGATAACATTCTTGAAGAAGCTGTTGATCAACATTTCCATACATTAATCCAAACTCGGCACATTCAGCGGCGGCGAGATGTAGTTGATGACAACTTGGCAGCAGAAGTGATCGAGGAAATTGGAGATAGTTTAGGGGAGCCTCCAGAGGTATGACTAGTTTTATGAACATTTTATTGTTTAATGAAGTACAAAACTTAAAAATCAGAATCAGCAAAACCAATATTGCATAAATTAATAATGAATTAGTATTTCACAAATCAGAATCTATTTCATAAGATCTATACATAATTTTTAGTAGTGCATAAACCCAAAGGGGACTTTGGTTTCATTGTTGCATGTAGGAAAGTAGTGAAACAGGGATGAGGAAAATTTTTTCAATATAGTGAATAAGAATCTGATATAGAATACAATTTTCAATCTGAACCTTTCACACTGATTGATTAATTTAGTATTTGTATGAAGTTGAAGTAAGTGATGATGATGTTTGTTATTGAAAACAATGTTGTCAAGATTAAGATCATACCTAGGATGAGGGGTTGCAAGATCTTAAAACACAAGAATGTAACTAGGATCATAAGATCCTACCAAAATGAAAAGTTATACTTATGTCAGAGTGGGAGGAACTCTTGTTCCCGGCCTTGAAACCTACAGCTGAAACTCAATGTTTCAGTTAAACGGTCTCGCCATTCTACCCCTTCATTCTATTCCTACCGAAAGTTTCCAGATCACTTTTTCATTGTAACAAGCACAGCCCCATCCGCCACCATGGATGGTTCGACCTGCTGTTGCCACCATTGACGTTGCTGGATAAAAATAAACACTGCTGTATTAAACCAGTAACAGTGGGTAGATGATATCTATAAAAGTTATTCAAAATCCATATTAAACATGAAGGTTGCCGGATCGAATCAGAATTGCAGTAATAACTGGACTAAAGTGATCGTCGTTGGAGGTGAATCAAAACCAACAAAAACCAGGAAAAGACTTAAAAATCAGAATCGGCAAAACCAATATTGCATAAATTAATCATGAGTTAGTATTTCACAAATCAGAATCTATTTCATAAGATCTATACATAATTTTTAGTAGTGCATAAACCCAAAGGGGACTTTGGTTTCATTGTCGCATGTAGGAAAGTAGTGAAACAGTGAGTGAAAGACTTTCACTGCGATGACAGCCGAAAAAGTCATGTTCAGGTTTGGGAAATTTTGTAGATGAACATCATAGAGGAAAAGGCATGTGATATTTTGATTTTGGTACCCTGATCTAAGCCATTTACTAATGGTTAACAATGGCTTCTGACTAGATATGCCCCCATGAAAAATAACTAATAAATATTTACATTATTAAAACAAACTTAAATCTGAAGTTTCAGAACCATAACATTCAGCAGGCTTACTGCTACCATCCCCTGCCCACCTCCAGCCCTCTTATCACCTTACAGTGTATTCTCTTGTGAAACATTCATACATCTCTTCATCACTCTCCTCTTCAGATTCCTCCTCTTCATTTGCAGACCTGTTGTCTTCTGAAACATTTGCAGACCTATCATCATTAGCATGTTTGTCTCTTCCAAGACTGCTGCCATCACCATGCCCGCGTATGCGCTTCCTATGCTTTGCTGATCTCAAGCTTCAAAACAATGAAGAAACTAGTATTTGTAAGAAAACAAGTTATAAAGTCCGGTCATTAAGTCCATCCAGTTTCTGACAACCACAGTCGTCAACCTATGCTTATCACAACTCATTCATATTTATAGCAAACACAACACAAATGCAAAAACATAAATTAAAATATGCTATTCATCCTCACTTATAATTACACAATCTAAAGAAAAACATAAACATTGTACTGAGGAATAAGGGATCACCTCCTCTCAAAAGCTTCCACATTAGCAACACAAACTAAATTTTCTTGAGGCTCCCAAGTGTTTGCTGTCTCATCCCATCCGGACCTTAAGTGATAAATAAAATATTATTACAAAAAAATTGCAAGATTAAAAAAGCAAAGGGAAAAAAATGCAGACACAGCAGCAACATTAGAACAGCGTCATCATTGTCAGAATTCGAGTGAGAAACAAAAACACAAAAATTGCGTCTGTTTATGGACTGAGTGTGAATCTGAGTTGTAAATGAATCTATGGAAAATCCATAGCCCTGCATTGTTTTATTTAACACTCTTATCCCTTTGGCCAGTTTCTCTTTCCATATCCTCCTTTTATTGGATTTTAAAGTTTTCCATTTTTATTATTTTTTTCTTATTATTTTAGTTTCTAAAGATTTTATTCACGCCCATCCGTTTGTTTCCAGAATTTATGTGTGGTTTATTTATTTATTTTTGTCCGCTTAAAAAAGCTTTGTTTATCCACACAGCCAAACACAATACTTATATTATTATTAATATTTTGTTTTAAAAAAAATATTATATGGAGTAAATAGGTAAAGGTATTTTCAATTTTAGTAAGTATTTCTTTATCTGTTCCACTTATTTAGAGTGAAGTATCATAACCATAACATCTGGAACAGGTCATAAGTAGTCAGATACATACAGAAGACCATATCTAACTAAAATAATAACCATCACCATAACATCCAGCAGCCTCACTACCACCAGCCTATGCTGTCCAACCATAATTCCACCTTGCACAGAAAGCCATTACCAATGTATTTGAATGCAGGCCAAGCTATGACAGCTCAGAAAAGTGAGGAGGGTAGATGGGAAGAAATAAGACGAGCAGAGAGGATTGAAACTTGAGAGAGATGAAGTAAGATGTGTGAAGCCGGTGAGATGGGTCAAGAGACTCGAGTTGAAGGAGATGGGTGTTGTTTTCCGGAATTTAAGGGTGGGTTTATGGGATCCCCAACTCAGAAATGTCCATTTTGGAATCACACGAGATCTCAGTCATTATGATCTTGCTCGTGATCTCACTTCGATCTTTCACATGTGATTCGACTCAAGTAGAGGAGGCAAGATTGTGAGATCACGTGATCTTACATTTCAGATCTCAATCTTGATAATGATTGATAAAGTATTGCCTGGGATACCTACTATAACTTGTTCTTGAAGAGAAACAAGCTGTGTTGCATTTTTTTAAAAGGATTAATTCGAGATATATGTATCATTAATGCCCATATTCATTTTTCTAGGAAAATTGTTTATTTTCTTGTTCATTTATACTGACAGGTTCAAGAAATGCTTGATGAAATGGGTCATCCTAGTATACCACTAAGTGTTATTTCTAAAGCTGCAGAACTCCAGTTCCATTATACTGTTGACAAAGTGCTCTTGGGTAATAGGTGGTTGCGGAAAGCAACAGGCATACAACCAAACTTTCCATATATGGTTGACTCATTCGAAAGAAGGTAAATTTTCTGTAGTTTTTGATTGTGTATTTTTCACTCTTGCTATTTTTAGTCCAGCGGTTTCATGGTTGTGTTTATTGTATCTAAGTATAAAAGAACAAGTAGTGGCAATTGGTTCCAAAGAGTAACAAATTGTTATACCAATCCATATTTAATTAATTTAGCTTAATGTAGATCAAATTAGGTCCAGGTTCGTTTAGACATGTTGATTAGAGAAACTAGGACCTGTGTATTCTCTTTGAGATTCATATACTTTGTTCGGATTGCGCATTAACTCATGTCAACGGTTTTCTGTTATGCTGCTCTTTTCTATTAGTTGCATAGTATCTAGAGTTTAAAGTGGCAACCCAAACTGTGCCTACCTGGTGTGCTCATGAGTGTTTTTTCCCAGCCAACCTTGTTCTTAGGTACTGGCCTTTCTATAATTTATACATATCTCTGGCGACCTTTTTGGTAGGGGGCTCCATCGCTAGACTCACCTTCGTTTGCTCAGTCATCCATGAGACTCAACCCTAAAGGTGCTTTCATGAGTCCTTATCTGTGTACCCACGTCACTTTTGTTTTGTAGTAGGCCATTCAGCAATCTTTGAAGCTGGCAGATATCCTGTCTGATCTTTCTATTTTTTCCGTACTTATACGGCATCTGTCTACCAACAAATCGGATGAAGTAACAATGAAACCATCATTTCTATTGTCAAATTGTGGCTTAGCAACCATGGATGCAAAGACATGTCCACCAAATCTACCTGTTCTTGAGGTTGAATGATCTAGGTAGGAAAAACCTGTTTCTGGAGCAAAGATACGTGCACCAAAATGGACTTTTAAAAAATTGGTATGTAGTTTGTACTTTGGTGCATAACCCATGAGTATCTAATAAGTACCAATTATGGGTATAAAATTAACCAATTCAACTAATAAATCTTGTGATATCATTTTGGTCGAGTATTTCAGATTATTTAGGTTTTTAGTAGCAGAAGACATATAATAAAAGAGAAATGGAGTGGAATAGGTACACCAACCCAAAAAAGAGATGATTAGTTGTCAAAATAAAGTAGCCCAATAACTTATTAGTTGTCAAAATAAAGTAGCATAATAAAGTCTCAATTAGTTTTTCATTTGGATAAATTTTTCTGAATTGATCTACTTATAAGTATAAAGTTCGAATAATTAATTTTACGTTCTACAAAAAGTTATTAGTTGGAAACAGTGTTGTCATTGGCGGCTGAGCGAAGGTAAAAAATTTGCTATATAAACACGCCATTGTGGTCTATGGAGCTACCATAACATCCATCTTCACGAATGACCTAAGGGGATTGTAAAAAAATCCGCACTACCATTCTGCCATGGCGCTGCCATGGCCACCAATTTAGCAACATTGATTGATTTAAGTGTTAAATTTTGATATTTAGTAGTTAAACAAGATGATACTTTTGCAATTACTAGGAAACGAAAACAGGAAGCATTTTTTCAAGCCAATTTGATTTAAAGAAATGTTTTTGTTCTATTTTCTAAACTGATAATTAAAAGGAGACTACCTGATATAATATCTGCTTTATCTTTGAAACACTCTTTGTTATCTTGCAGAAGTGAAGTCTCTTTTCTGAGAGTTACAGAGTCAAGCAGCTGCCCCGATAACTCTAAATTGGAAGATGATGCTAAACAAACTGGGTGTACAGACTCTTCTGAATATAGTTTGGATGACAGCACTGAAAAAGTAGGGTTATCAAGAAAAGGTGTAAATAAAGAATATTTGAAACAAAATACCTTTCTTCCAAAAATTACAATGGTTGGTCTCTCTACAGAAGAAGCGGGCCAGATGAGCAAGGCTAGTTTGAAAAAAACAATGGATGATTTGACGAAAGAGTTGGAGAGGACAGAACTAGATAATATAACTGATGGTGGTAGTAATGAGTACAAATTAGAAGATGATAGGGATCCACTATTTGTAGCTAATGTGGGTGATTATTATTCTAGTGTTGGAAGGACACGAACTCCTCGTTGGATTCGAGGAGGGTCAAACTAAAACTTGCACGGTGACCGTTTCTCATTTTGATGGAAAACTCAGGAACTACACATCGGATTCGAGGAGGGTTCAATTAAAACCTTTTTGTTGTCAAGAAAATGTTTCATTTGGGGTAGTTTTGGATATTTTCGGATTAACCTCGTAACAGTATTTACACTCTTAAACAGTAAGTTGGAAGATTTTTGTCATTTTTTAATAATCCTTACATTATAAATCATTTTAATAATAAATCACACATATTTGTCATTCAATAATAACTAATAAGATTAAAATAGAATAATTACTACATATATCTGAATGTCTAAATGTCAACTGTTAGATACAAATCGTCATAATCAATTCATGCCATGCTTGGTCTACAAAGTATGTCGTGCCTCTTCTAGGGTTATCAATCGCGACCGTGAAGGGTGTGATTCCTGGCGGTTCGGTTAGAGCGGCCACCTACCGCGTGAGAAGACAAGGACAGAGCGCTGTTTAAAATGCAGATGTTATTGTCGCAAATGCGGCTCGCTCCCTGGGTGGAGGACAAACCGTTTTTATTTATTTATTTTAATTTTTTTTATGCAATAGTACTATTTTGCCCTTACTTTTTAAAATGTTAAAACTCTTTTTCCCTCTTTTTTCGTTTACCTTCAAACTGTCTTTCCTTTCCGTTTATGCCCTAAACTTCATTCCTTCTACATGTCTTCGCTGCCTCAATCCTTACATCTGACCATCCTCTTCCATTCGTCTCTCTTCAGCAACTGACACCCCCTTCCCTGACGCTTCTCCTCTGTTTTTCTTATTCTAAATTCTTATATGTTTCATCTATTATTTATGTCCCTCTGTTTTCTATTTTACTTCTTTAGTTTCATACATTTTCTTTCATCTCTTTTCTTTCATATGCTTTATTCTTAGACAATATGGCAACATCTTTCTCTAACCAAATTCTACTTCGGTTGCTTCATGTGGTCAAACCTTCAAACCAAGTGGTAGTAATATTGACATAGCATGATAATATAATAATTGGAAGGATATAAATAACAAGAAGGTGACATGTGATTTTTGTAATCTAACTAGTAGTGGGGGAATTAGTAGAGAAAAAAAACATCAATTAGAAATAAAAGGTGATGTAGTTCCTTGCTTGAAAATACCAGGTGAAGTTAAAGCAATATTACATGGTAATATGGTTGAGAAAGAGAGAATTAAAATAGGAATAGAAGAGGTGTTGGTGCAATTAGATGCGGATGACACAAATGAAATTGAGAAAATAAGTAGAATTCGAAGCGGAAAGAGGCTTGTTGAGACCTCTTCAATGACTGTCAAGAGGACTAAAGGACCATTGCATTTAGTCTTTAAGAAAACTAAGAACACAAGCATCAATGAAGCGTGTGATAAAGAAGCGAAGGCAAGAACCGTACAATATATTGCTCGCTTTGTTTATACATGTGAAATTGCTTTAAACATAACAAATGAAAAAGCCTTTAAGTTGATGTTGGAAGCCGTTGGAAGCTATGGTCCTCATTTGAAACCGCCAGGTTTTCATGAACTAGGGTTCCACTCCTTCAAAAAGAGTTGAAATATACAAAAGGTTTGTTAAAGAATCACGAGGTGCAAAAGAATAAATATGGATGTTCAATCATGTCAGATGGTTGGACGGATAGAAAAGGTATAACCTTGATTAATTTCTTGGTCAATTGTGTGGCGAGAACCATGTTTGTGAAAAATGTCAATGCTTCTGACTATGCCAAGACGGGGGATAAGCTAGCCGAGTTAGGAAATGGGAGAAATATGAGAAGATGGTGAACCTTTAGAAGAAGACTTGGTTCATGAAGATGATGATTTAACATGTTCTCAAGTTGCCGAAGTAAGTGGGCTTAATGACCCTGTAATCTACACTATGAGGTTAAGGCTACTCGAAGTTTCAAGTACATCTAGAGCAAAAAAAATGGTGGTAGAAGATGATGAAGGTGAAGTATTGGAGAAATATTTTGATGATCTTTGAAGAATACATCTTTGATGATGACCTTTGATTTCTATGTTTGCTTAATTTTCATATAATAGTTCTAAGTTTGAATTTTAAGATGTGATGTTTTGAATCTTGTATTATGTTTTGAATTTTTCTATAATGTTTTTAATCATGATTAATCATTGTTATTTGGAATTGGATTTTATAAATCTTTTGAGTGTTGTGTTATTTATTTAGTTTGAAGGTGAGGAGAGGAGAAACACAAGAAAGGGGGGGGGGGGGGAAGGGGTTTGAATTGGGTTTCTAAAAATGAAAGCTTTTTATCCCAACAAAACAAATAGAAAACGAAGAATAAAAATAATGAAATAATTATTTTTATACTGGTTCTCTATAAACTAAGCTACCTTCAGTCCACCTGTCAAGGTGATTTCGCCTTATCAACATGGACTTAATTCACTATAATCAAACTTGATTACAACACAAAGACCAATAATTAATGTCTTCTTGAGTTTATAGACTAAACTCTAGTCACTCAAGGAAAATACAACCAAACAGATTAATATAAAGTGTGTTTATAAAATGCTTCTAAGAAAGAATAATACACAAATGAAATACAAGTATATCACACAAAAGATATTCAATGAAGAGTATGAACAAAAGTTCGTTGTGTGAGTGTTTCTTTTCTCTCAAAATAACAATATTCACATATATGATAATAGTGTAGCGTAGTAATTGTTCAAGTGCTTTTCCGTTCTTCCAAGTCTTCTTCATATATGCAATGAAGAGACCCGCTGAAGGGTAGAATTGGAATACCAAAATGAAGCTGTATCCTTGCATAACAGTTTTTGAAAATGGAAGATAAAATTGTACAATAGTACAATCCTTAGCCCACAAAATCAGTGTAGTGGAATGAATAATTGTTCTTGTATTATGTACTATTTTTCTCATGTAAAACCTTTTGATCTTAGCTTCAATATTTAAAGGCTTCTGATAGGTAGGTGGTGAAGCATGAATAAGAGAAGAGTAAGAGTCTACTAGTCTATATATTTTGACCATATGTACTTCAATTATGGTTGTTCCTGCCACGAGGTGAATCTCCATCAGTAACACAAGAAGTGCTAGGCATGATGAGATTAGTAAATTTCTCAGGACATTTTCTGTACCACTGTTAAGTGTTAATGCATAGATCGTTCTCTAATGCCAACTAAAGGTGAGAAGAATACACAAGAGAGGGGGGGGGGGTGAATTGTGTATTCCAAAAATGGTTTCACTTCTGAAACTGAAAACTTCAGAGTTTGAACCAAGTTTAGAGTCTGATATCAGAATGAGTAATAATTGCGGAAATGAAATATTAAGAGTAAATGCAAGCAACACACAAAGATTGTCTTGGTTCCTCTCCTCAACTAAGAGTAGTTCAGTTCCCTTCCCTCAATAAGAGCTTTTCACTATAACCAAATTGATTACAAATGCTTAAGTTAACTACTCAAGACTTCTGTAATACGCCAAATTTGTCCTACTTTGTTTATTTTGTACCTAGCTTTATGTTGCTTCCTAATCTTCGTATGGATGATCATTTAGCCTTTGGCCATGATTGCCTAGGGATTAGGTCATGAGGTTTTGTATGTGTTTATGGTGTTGGCAAGCTCTTGTTAAGATGCTTTGGTTTCAAGAAGAGATGAAAGGGAAATATGCCCTCACTATTATGGATTAAGAAGGAATGTGATTGCTTCTTAAGTTTGTGATTAAATCAAAGATTAGGAGTCATAAAGCATGGTATGGAAGGCTTCATGGATTCAAGAATGTGCAAGTGACAATCAAGTTCTTGAGCATTTATTTCACCTTAGAATTTGATTCATGTTTTGAATGGATTTCTCAATATTTAAGTAACAAAAAGGATTATCTTATCTCATCATTATTTCATACCCAAGTTCACATCCAAGTCCCATTCGTCATAACCATTTTTAAATCCACATCAAAAATCACTTTCCCTAACCAATTCTCCATTATCCAAATTTTCATAACTGCTTTTCCAACATCCAACAGTTCTCCCATTATCCAAATCCACTTACCAAATGGTTCATATCCATAACCCACTTTCCATGACTTTTTCCATCCAAATTCCAATCAATATCCAATTCTAACTTCCTAAATCTATATCCATTTCTAAATCAAATCCATTTTTGAATCATTTTTTTTTCAAAAAAATCCACTTCATAACCACTATTAAATCCATTTCAATTCATATCGAAATAAATAAAATTCATATCCACTTTTTCAAAACTCATTTCCAAAACCATAAACCATAAACCTTTTTTTACAAAAAAAATCAAATTCAAGATTCCCAAAAATCCATCTTTGCTTCAAAACTTCATGATCATTTTTCTTTTTGCCATGACACATATCCAAGTACAAATTCAAGAATTCAAATGCAAGATTCAAAGGTCTCCTTACAAGTGCAAGAATGACAAAATCAAACTCAAAAGTAAAGTTATCTTAAGTTCATGTTGAGGACTTCACATGTTTTAAAAATTCAAGATCTTAGGGTACATCACAAAGTTCTGTTAGAACAAGATTTGTTCTTGACATATTCTCTTTTAGTTTTGATGATAACAAAAGTATTAAAAAACAATGGTTTATTTGATGTGTTTTATTTATGCATGTTCTTGTACATAAATAATCAGAATCTATTCTACTTAGACACACTTTTGGAGTTGCTTCATTGCTAGCTTCTGATGGCAGAGTCTAAAGAACAATTGCTAGTATTGCTTGACGCAGACTTTGAGCTAAAGACCTCAACATTTAGACGCGTTTCTACACTTGGTAATTGTATATCAGCATCTGGTACCATTCATAGTTGGTGATAAAGGTGTGGATTGTCCGTACTATAAAAAACAAGTTGTATTGTCTTATCAGCCTGTCAGCTCGAGTCTACAAGATTACAAGGCTCAAGAAAAGCTAGTACATTCTACGGATGTCTGCTCCCAACAACTCTATCAGTACAAAACCTCTTGAAGACTCAAAGGTTAAACGCGTTACACACTGGATTCAGTAT